GTGCTTTTTTAACCTTTCCTTTAGGATAAAATAAAAAGTCGGTGGCGACTCTTGCTAAACCGAACAAGTGCGAATACAAACGCAAAACTCAAGTCAGTTCTCCCACCGTATCACAACTATCATATCTTATTTCAAACAATCTCATCTCTTCATCATTTGAATCATCATTGTCACTATCGTCACTCTCATTTTGCTCAAATGTTGAGGATTTTGAGCTAGAAGTCTTTAGAGCAATGGACTTCTTTTCCATTCCTTATCTTTGTATTTTTCTTTCTTTAACTTATTATCATGCTTCTTCTCAAAATTTTCTAAGCAATTAAGTTCTTGCTCATGTTCTTCAAGCTTACCGAACAATGTAGTGAGATTGTTGGCTTCCTTGATCGCGGTGACCTTTGGTTTCTAATCCCTAGTAAGACATCTCAAAACTTTGTTAGTAGCAATTTCATTGGGAATCGGTTTCCCAAGTGTATTCAAACAATTAATGAGATGAGAAAATCTTGTTTGCATATCGGCAATGGTTTCACCATGCTTCATGCGAAAGAGCTTGAATTCTTGAGTTAATGTATTTACTCTAGCTTGTTTAACTTTATTTGTTCCCTCATGGACAACTCCTGATGAGTTCCACATAACTTTTGAAGTTTCACAATGGGAGACAGGATAAAACTCATCCACTTCAAGGGAGGACATGAGAATTTTTCGTGCCTTCCAATCGTAACTCCACAATTCCTTTTCATCTTTACTCCATCGTGCTTCTGGTTTGGGTACGGTGACACCATCAATGTCCTCGATAATTACATTTGGACCATTTTTTATGACATCCCATACACCCTTATTGTAAGAATTGATATGAATGTGCATACAAGTCTTCCATTAACCATAGTTTTCACTGGTGAATACAGGAGCTCTATTATAATCCATTTTAGTTGCCTTTTCCATTTTCTAAAAAGTGTATTGGAAGCACACAAAATGAATCATGCTCTTGATGCCACTTATTAGACGATGACAACTTATCTAGAGAGGGTGAATAGATACCTAATTTAAAGTTTAGTTTTAAAACAGTTTTTAAATCACGTTAAAAATAATGGTTAGAAGAAGTTGTGTCCTATATCGAAGTCGTCTAAAAGCACTCAATTATTGGAGCTCGAATATGCATTCAATCAATTCAAGTTAAGTAAAGATGATATGTGAGCAACATAGAAAATTCTCAATCAACAATTTGAATACAATCAATTAAGTAACCTAATTTCAATGAAATTGAAGATAAAACTTATTTAGACAATCTATCGAACACTTAGTGTGCACTTTGATTTTTATAATTTCTTTTGAAATTTTTTTTTTGAGACTAAAACCTATTACAATCAAAGGGATTGTAAGAACAACAACAAAATGATTTAAACATTCAAGGAATATTTCTAACCTAATCAATTTGCACAATCAAGAGTATAATAAATTGCTAACAAAATATAAAAGAGATAAAGTGAGATAGATAGATAAAGAGAGAGAGGAAGAGAACGACACAATGATTTATTAAGGAAGATCACCAATCGTCCTCGTTATGGCTACGTCTCCCCCCCAATTCTGTTTTTGAATTGAGACTAATTTCTTACTATTTGCAAAAGTACCTTTACAAGAGAAATGCTGCAATGCACCCCTACAACACCTATGGTTGATGATGATCCAATGAAACTCCCCTGGTCTTGATGGAGTTAGATCAAGACCCTAACAACTCCAATCCACCTTCTCACGCTACTAAGTTGAAGGAAAATTGTCTTCAATGTTTACTCAGCCGAATCTAATTACAAGATCGTTGTCACCCAAGATTACCTGATAATTCACCGTCTCACACTACTAGGCATGCAATAACCACCCTATTCTTTAAGGTCTTCACTCGGTCGAATCCAATATCGGCATAATCTTGTTAAAAACACTCAAATATCCACACGATCTTGAGGTAAAAATTATCGCAGTTTTTTTGGATGAAACCCCCTTGATTCTCAACTCAATCGTAAGTTACAACCAACCTAAGTTGAATGTTATCAACCGAGTCTATATGACACCCAAACAATGATGATTATGTGTATGTTGTTTGTGTGTATGCATAGGGTCAAGGTCGAAGATGAAGAGCAATCAAGTAAGTGTTTATAGTTTTATCAAAATAAAAATGATACATGTATGATATATATATATATATATATATATATATATATATATATATATATATATATATATATATATATATATATATATATATATATATATGTGTGTGTGTGTGTGTGTGTGTGTGTGTGTGTGTGTGTGTGTGTGTGTGTGTGTGTGTGTGTGTGTGTGCGTGTGCGTATGCGTGTGTGTGTGTGTGTGTGTGTATGCGCGCGCGCGCGTGTGTGTGTGTATGTGTGTGGGTGTGTGTGGGTGTGTGTGTGTGTGTGTGTGTGTGTGTGTGTGTGTGAGAGAGAGAGAGAGAGAGAGAGAGAGAGAGAGAGAGAGAGAGAGAGAGAGAGAGAGAGAGAGAGAGAGAGACTTGGAGACAAAGGAAGGAGTAGAAATACAAAAGAAAAAGTGATTTTTGAAGTTTGGTACAAGATGTGTCGACACATGCATGATAGAATTGGACACAAGTGTCAACCTTTAGCATGTTATGAGTCGGCATGAACCCATAGACTTCCAGGCTTTAAAACAATGACACATGAGTCAACACGAAGCTCGTATGTGTCGACACATAGAACAATTTGAAGGCATGTGTCGACACGAACAAGAGGGTGAGTCGACACAAACTTATAGAGTTATTTGCTTTAAAACAATAGCACATGTGCCGACACGTGGCTCGTATGTGTCGACGCATGCACATGAATTTTGTGCAAAAAGTGATTTTTCCTTTATGAGACCAATGGATAACCAAACCAAACTTGTTGTATATGCTTCTTAAGGTTTCTAATGACTTCTAATGCAAGGGTGCACACAAATACTCAGAGATACCGTTTGATATACAGAAAAGCTAAAATGAATTCCTAGTTTTGACATCATGTAAAACATCTATAAGAGAAATGCATCGACACATATCTTAGCAATGCGTGATTAAGGTTTGTTTAGTAGATTGAATTAGATCAAATCTAGTTATTTGGATATTTAAATTTGAATCAAAACAAATCGAATCTTTTTGGTTGAGGCTTTTGAAAAACAAATCAAAATAGAATCCTCTACAAATATGGAAGTGATTAAATCTTATGTATATCAGAGAAAATCCCATAAGTTGCATTGCTATTTAAAGAGACTCAAACCTAACTTTTGAGGTGTGCAAAAGAGTTGAAGATATTTGTGTTAAAGTTTCTATTTTGAGTCATTTGTTTGTGTTATTGTTTGTCCACCACTCTAGCTCATGCGTTCATATCTTAAGATATAGAGTTTGATTTGTTAGTTGAGTTGTAATTCAATATTCAATATTCTATTTATTGAGTTAATCACTAGTGATTTAGAAAAAGTGAGACGAATTCTCATATTTAGGAGGAGCCCTAAATAGAAAGATATGGGGGTAGTATTTGAAAAAGACATTGGACTAGGGTTGTTAATCTAAGACTTATTGTACTAATACTATTGAAAAGTGGATTTCCTTTCTTGAGTTTGAAGTCCCCCAGATGTAGTTGAGGTTTCGGTGAATTGGGTTGCCAATTCTCTTATATTATTTTTGTTTTATGATTTAATTCAGAGTTTTTGTTTTTCTGGCATACGTTGTCCTAGACATCATGTCTAACATCTGTCATGCGAAGAAACTACAATCTATTATAAATCAGTTGTACATGTTATCCCAGACATCGTGTTCAACATCTGTTATTCTGAAAACGTAATTTAAATTAGAATCGATCTCTCTACCGACTCCACCATCAAACAACCACGTCTATATTTACTCATATAGACATCTGTATATATTCATTATTTTTTACATATAGGAACCTAAAACCTTTTGTGCTCGACAATGCAAACAAAATAACATTTATTGTATTCACAACAACAAGTACAGACAAGTTGAATAACATCTATTATACTTACAACAAGTATATTATATTTTTTTATTTAAATAGATAGCATATTATGTGAGTGAAGGCATAGTTAGAAAATTCATTTTTATGGATTTGTTTGTTTCATTTTTTTAATATTATATATTTTTGTTAAGAAAAAAATCATTTGTTAAAAAATATTTTAAATGAAAATTTTGTTTAATTCTCATAAATATTATTTTAAATATTTTATTCTTTTGTTATAATTATTTTAAAATTTAAAAAAAAAAATCACCTAAATTTAAGCTATTTTGAATTTTTTATTTTAAAATTATTCCTAAAATATTTTGTTTGAAAAATTATGTGATCTAAATTATCTTAAAATTATTTAATAATAAATATTTAAGTTATTAAAAATTAAAACTACTCTTTTAATTTATAAAGAATGAGTTTGAAATAAATTCTTCTATTTTTTAAAAAGTCATATTGAAAAGTATTTAAAAAAACATTTTTAATCTATAACAAATCGGCCCATATCATTATGAAAATATTATTATTTTTCTATAAATATAAAAATTATTATATTATTTTAGGACAGAGGCGTTACGTTTTGTCAATATTGTCTAGTGTCATTGCCGTTCGGTAAATGTGTTAGAAATAATGAGGAAATTGAAAAGTTTTGTAAGTTACTATAATATCAAAAGCCACTTCTTTGTTAAAATTCTTGAAATCCTCGATCTTCTCTTTTTACAACCAAATTTTGCAGTTCTTACCTTCCCATTAAGAAAATATTGCTGTTCTAGCATTTTTCTTGGAACTTATAAAGTATTAGAGTTCACCACTGATTATGTACAAATCCTTACACTTGGCCTTGAAATAAAAACTTGCCATGTCTATTTGAATATCAGCATGCTTCATTATGAATACCAAAATCTCAAGCAAAAAAAATTCCAATAACTAACACATAATATAGTCCTATAACACAAATCTTCCAGAGCAACAACATTAAACATGGAGATGAAGAAAAAGAATTCAAGCAGTTACCTTTTGGCACTTGTATTCATTTTGGCTTTTACCTTTCCAACTCTTTTGAGTGCTTCAAATTCTTATGCAACAAAAGATCATTTGTTCCCTGAGTTCATAAAATGGCATGTATATGTTGTCAATTCCTTGAGCTACAATCAAAACTTGTTCGCGCATTGCAAATCATCAGAAGATGATCTTGGCGTCAATAACCTATCTCGAGGTTCAAATATCACTTGGAGTTTTAGGACGGATTTCTTTCACTCAACAATGTTTTCGTGCTATGTGACTAAAGACGGCGCATCTCTCAATTTCAAGGCTTTCTGGTATGATGCTCGTCTTTTCGACAAGTGTGGTTGGAAGAATTGTATTTGGGTTGCTAAAGATGATGGAGTTTACTTGAAAAATTTGAGTGCAAGACTTGATGAGTTGGTTTATAATTGGAATGCTGGAATGTGATACGACGATCTGGTATTTTTATATTTATTTTGTTGTTTTCAATAAATCGTACTATAGAGTGAATAGGTTTTAAGGATTGATCATGTTTGTACTCGGAGAATTGCGAATCAGTTATACAAACGATCAATTGAAGAATCATTACATAATGAAAGAAGGAAAATATAAACATAAATAGTTTTTCAGGTATAAAAGTTGCTCATTTCAGTTATACAAATCCTCCAACCAGAGATTTATTAGGGTCTCACTAAACATCAATCTATAATGTTTTGAAGTTTTCAACCAACATGTGCTCCGCCAAATCGGTAACCGGATCAGATTCCCTTTAGGATGAGAGTAATACTGTCATGGTCTTAGCTCCCCTTATTTTTAGCAATAGCTTCAGATACGAGAGTTTCAAGTTCTCCTTTTCTGTACAGCTTAAGTGTATCTGCACAAGTAAAAACAAAATGTTGGTAACAAAAGGAGAATACAGAGGAAACTTCACATTGTTAAGATTTTTATTGAACTGTGTATAGTTAGTCTTTTCGAAACTGCTAGAAATCCAAACAGAAACGAGATCTGTCACAGATTCACAAACGCATTATGAATACATAAGTGATCATGTGGTACAGTATTAATGCAATTCCCCAAGCACGTTTTCCAGGCAAAAGAGGACGTAAATGGTTAACTGAAATTTGTGAGACAAATATCTTGATAATTAGCACTGCTCAAATTCAAAATCATACACAATTTACGTATGCGGTAATATACATTTTAAATTATAAGCAGAAGAATGTAGAAAAAAATTAAAGTAGTTCAATCACTAAGGAAAAAAAATGAAGTTTTGAACAGAGGAGACATGACATCTCAGCTAAATAATCAATAATACAACAATAGCACAGAGAAAACATACCTGTACATCCACCAATATGTTTGCCACCTGCAATGAAGAAAAAGTTACGGTCGGAAATAAACTTTTTCATTAGAAAGATAAAATTAAATGCACAGTAAAAGACTTGCGTAATTTTATATTGGCAACATTGTTCTTGCAGTACCATAGTTTAATTTCAGATAACTATTCAATCCTTTATCTTCTGCTTTTTACCAATTTGATCCATTGAAAGGCTAATACTGTTATTCTATTTTACATTGAAAAAATTCAAAATCCCTAAAAACTCATTAAAAAAACCTAGAAAACTCCGATCTTCATAGAAGAAATCATGAAAGGAGAGAAGTTAGAGATTTGGTGGTGGAAGAAATCATGAAAGGAGAGAAGTTAGAGATTTGGTGGTGGAAGAAATCATGAAAGGGAATTCCACTTCAGTAATAACTTGAATGATAGAGCAGTTATCCATTCACAACTGCTGCTGCTACATCTACTCAGTTTTTTTTTGCTAACAGTGGTGATAGGAAGCATTTGAAATTTAGTTTTCTCTAGTGCATTTTTTTGTCTATTCTTCTCTAACTCCCCAAATCTTCAAAAGTCTCTCATTCTCTAGTGTTTGGAATAGTATAGGAAAACAACTTATGACATATCCATAAGTTGTTTTCAGCTTATTTATATACACTCCAGGATAGCTACATGAAAACAGTTTATACTTTATAAGAACAATTTGACTTTAATTCCATAAGGACTGGCTTATTAAAATTATCTATTGGTATAAACACTTTTGAGAGTGATGATTATAAGAGCTCATGAAAATAGCTTATGACAAGTCCGTGAACTGTTTATCTGCTTATTATCATAAGTTGTCGACGATAGTTTATGAAAAACAGTTTGAATTGACAGATAAGCGCTTATGCTATAAGCAGTTAATGAAATTGTTTATCCTAAGAGAGCTATATGTAAGTGGTAATAAGCAAATAAGAATAGTGGTTACCAATAAATACATTTGGGACAGTGTATTGGCCGGTAAGTCTTTCCAACAACTTCTGCAATTGTGGACCTTGTGGACCTAAAACGAAATACAAAATCAATAAAGTTACACACGAAATGCAATAAACAGTTAGGGTTAAGCTAAAATACCCATTTCGTCCAATTCGAAGACCAGCGGCTGAACACCGAGCTTCTTGAACAACGATTTCACCTCAGAGCAATAGGAGCACCAGGATTTGGAGTAAACGACGACAGCGTTTTGGGAGAGAGTGTTTTTGATGGTTTCTTCGAGGCGAGAGCCGAAGGAGGAGGAAGAAGAAGAAGACGAGGTGGCTCGAATGAGAGTGGGTGCGCGTCTTGTGGTTGAGGATAACGCATTGGTGACGGGTGAAGGGGTGGAAATGGGGGTGGAGAAAGTGAAGATTTTGGGGAAGGATGATGAAGAGGAAGAAAGGGTGTGAGAAGGGTTGTAGGTAAATTGAGGAAGAGTGAAAGTGTTGGCCATGGATGCTATACCCATTTTATTTACTTTACTTTTGGTTCTCTTGTTTCTATCAATTCAATTCAATTCAAGGAAGAAGGTGCTATTCGGTTATTATTATAAATAAATATTTATTTTTCATTGACCTTTAAAATGAAAATTAGAAGTTGTGATAATGAAAGAAAAATAAACATGTTTTGATAATGATTATTAAGTGATGAGTAGTTAGAGAAAAATATTAAGCAAGTAGAAATTACTCATTTAAGTCATCAATTTACTAAATGTCTTATTAAAGTCAGACTTAATATACCATAGATGCTATCTTCATTTAACCAAATGGAAGATCATGTAATTTGTTATACGGATTTGTTGTAAAAAATAATGTCAAGAAAAATATAGTATGATCGGATTCTTGATTAATAAGAAACTTGGATACGTAAAGAAGACAATGAATTGATTATAAAATGTTATTCTTTATTTTCTCTTTAACGATTACAATTATTACATAATAACAAAATAACACGCTCATTTAGATTTGGATTAATGAGAGACTAGTATGTTATTTATAAGAAAATTAAAACTCTAGTTTTCAATTAACATACTAAACTAATAGGTTTTTACAAGTTGGTCCATTAAACAATCTAATTTAAGAACCAAGCTAACTTAACCAACCGTTTGACAGATTACATGCTAGAATAGACTTCGACTACAACATGCACACAACTCTACCGACCTATGAGGTTGGCCATGTCGACACAACTATCACTATCGACATTATCCTTGTCGACACCAGAGTTCAATCCAATTACCACAAATCTGCACCTTAGAACTAACTCTACATCATCAAGAGAATAACCTACATTTCTTCATGCAGCTTTATCAACTACATACAGTGGAAAAACTTGTAATTTGGAAATGTTTTGGTGATCATATCAGCAACATTGTGATTTGTCAAAACCATTAGCACTTGGACTTCTCCACATTCGATTATTCTCTGACGAAATGCAGTCTCAAATCAAAGTGTTTGGTTCACTCATGATATGTTGAATTCTTCGATAGGCGTGTTGCACTTTGACTATCACATTTAACAGTGATAGCTCAACCTTGAAGTTTTAGCTCCTAAGCAAAACCTTCAAGCCACAATGCTTCTTTCACAATTTCGATAGCGGCAATATATTCAGCTTCAGTGGTTGATAAGGCAACAACCTTCGGAAGTGTCTCTTTCCAACTAATTGTTGTGCCAAACATAGTGAAAACGTATCCAGAAATAGATTTTTATGGAATCCATACAACCGCATAATCAGAATCGACATATCATTTGATTTTTGCTTTATCATCATTACCACAAGCTCCACCATAAATCAGGACTCTGTTCAAAGACCCATTTATGTACCTTAGAATCCAATTCAATATTTGCCAGTGTGCCTTTCCAAGATTGGCCATATACCTTCTTACAAGGCTCACTGCATATGATGTGTCTAGCCTCGTACATACCATAACATACATAAAAGAACCTATTATACTAGCATATAAAATGCTATTCATATAGGCTCTTTCGACTTTAGTACTGTAGTGGTGAAAATTTTGATACCAAACCATTGATTGACTTGACTCATTACAGTGAAAGTCGTCACTGTTTATTATTTTCAAGGAAATGAGAAAAGAGCGAAATAAAACCCATAAATACGCAAAGTAAAAGCAACACTAAAAGTAAAACAAAAATAATGCATTTAAAAAGATCTAAGGTGCGAGGGTTGGTTATACAAAGAGAATGTGTTAGCACCCTATACATTTGCGGTACTCCATAGGAACCTTTTGAAATATCTGTGTATTTTGGCTAAAATTGATTTGCTTGCAAAAAGAGTGTGAAGATGAGAAGATAAGTGTCTTTTATTTCTTTTGTGATTTTATAAATTATTTGATATGCTTAAGTGTCTTGAAATATTTATTAAAGAAAAGAAGGTTTGAAAATGCGATGACCTAATGTCAAGGTTTTTTTTATGAAAGGAGTGAAAGTTTGAAAATTAGGGTTTTGGGGGGATTTTGGGATCTGTAGTGGTAGAAATGTTGAGACTAATTTATTGAATTGACTTGACTCGCACATATCAAAATAAAATTTGTCACCGCGCTTTATTGTTTCCAAAGAAAATGGGAAAAGAGCGAATAAACTCAAAAAAGAGAGGGGAAAGAATCTAGGTACGGGGATTTGTTATACAAAGGGAAGGTATTAGCACCCTAAACATCTACGGTACTCCGTATAAACCTCTTTGAAAATATGTGTATGTTTGCTATAAGTGGTGTATACAAAAATAGATGGTGGAGATCAGAAAAAAAGTATTTTTTACAATTTTTTCACCCGCCGCGGTTGCGAACCTTTAGTGCCTATGTACCACCTTCTGTGCAATAGGGCATCAGGATACTCGTAGTTCACCTCAAAAAATTTAAAACACAAGTGTGTTGGTTAATTTTAAGAAATGAGACATCATCGTCATATCCGAGTGGAAAAAATACTTACTACCCACGATCATGAGAAAGGAGAATTTATGTCATCTCAAAGTGGAGGATATAGCTTGGATTTTAAAATCAACAAAGTCTCACTCAACACCCAAGTGGAAAACATCTCACTTTACTACATATCATAGAAGTATAGTAGCTCGCATCACTACAAGGATCGACAAGGGTATAATCTTTTGAGAAAAGTTTTAAAGTAAAAAGACAAATTGGCAAAAATGGTTTGAATGAGTTTGAGTGACTTTTAGTCTTGAGAAAGATGTCAAAGTATGGTTAAATTGATTAATGTTTTATTTAAGAAAATATTTTTGAAAATGCATGGATCTAAGTTCAAGTTTATTATGAAAGCGGTTTAAGTTAGAAAACAATAAGAGTTTTGAAAAGGAGAGAGAAGATTTTTGAAATTAAAGAAGAAAGGAGGAGATGAAGGGACTATCCTAAAGCATAAAAGCTAAGGAAAAGAACGATCTAACCAACAAGAAGGCAACACTTGACATAAAGAGTCAATGTAGAACTATCATCCTTTGGATTGAAACCAAGCAAGAAAAAATACTAAACCTCTGAGAAATACCAAGCTTCAGATGAATTAAGTCTTCACAAAAAATTGGGCAAAGTAACAACTGTATATAGAGGAATTCTCAATCACAGACAACATATACAATTAGAATAACCTGCACACCAAGAAAATCAACACAATGTCTTGGAGTAAACCCCAATAACTTCATACAAAATAACAACAGAATCACAAGATCCCAAGGGTAATCAAGGCTTCTAATCCTAAGTCCAAGAGGTCCATAACTCCACTATGCCAAGGATAGTAACCAAATAGTCCAAGTCACCTTAAAGTTTTTTAATGTTCAAATTGGTTATTAAGTGTCTTAAAAAAAAAAGCTCAAGTGAGCAAAATAAAAAGGACATAAAGATAAATGCTCAAATGAGCAAAGATAAAATGACATAAAGATAAATGCTCAAGTGAGCGAAGATGAAAATAGCATGAAATGTAAATGCTAAGGTAAATGGTGCATAATAGTAAAAACATAAAAATAAAAGGCATAAAGTAAAAGCATAAAGTAAAAGCACAAAAATAAGTCAATTGTTAATGAATTAGAAGTTAGAGTTTAGTTGAATGACCATCTTGAAACTTGCATTTGAAAACTCATTAGAAGATTGATAAAATCAAAGCTTCTCAACAACAAGTTTCATTTACTTTTTGTTAAGTATATCATTCATTTTAAGTACTCAAAGCAAGTATATATGATCAATGATGTTTAAATGATTCACTTAGACCAAAATTCATGAAAGTTCATTAGAGGATTGATAAGATCAAAGCCTCCTAACAATGAATCTTAAGGTTATTGGATCAAAGGATTCAAATTAAACATATTTGGGCTTACAAATATAGGTTTGGGCCACAAATCATCATTTCTCGAATCAGGACAAATTTAGCGTTATGTTAAGCAATCATAAGTGGACTTATATAGAAGTTACACCTATTTTGAGGCCAGTCAATAGCAATCTATGTACCACATGTTAGAAAAATGATATGTAGATTATTCGCCAACAACATGTAGCACAAGTAAGAAATGGATAATATGAAGAGGGAAGGGGTGTATCAGATGAAATTAGGGTTTCAAATATCATCAACATCATTCATCCATTTTGGTGAATTTGGTTTTTCAACCTATCAACACCCAAAATTCAACGAGGTTGAGGAACGTGTCCCAAAACAACATCCAAATCAGAACCAAACACAAATAATAAAATAATATTCAATAAAACAATATGTAAATGAACAATAAAAGGAAAATAATTGGTAAAATACACAAAATGTATTAAAACACCAAATAAAAATCCTAAAAAAAAAATCAAAGGTCAAACATAAGTCAACAAGTGTTGGCAAAATTTTTTAGAATTTTTTAAAGTCAGAAACTATTTTTAAAATTTAAATAAATAAGCAAAATAAACCAAAATTGGTAAAAAAAAAATAGTAAAATCAGAAATAAAAATAAAATAGGGTCACTAATATTTGTCAAGTGGCCATTGGATCCTTCCGTATTTTTTCCAGAATTTAAAAATCAAGAAAAGTATTTTTAAACAATTCAAATAAAGTGAAAAATCATAAAAAATATCAAACCATAAAATAAAATTGTGAAAAAATAAGAATCAGAAAGACAAAAATCAAAAGTATTTTTGAGATTTTTTTCAGAATTTTTGAAGTTGAAATGAATTTTTTATGAATTTTTGAAGTTTAAAACAATTAAATAAAAAATAGAAAATAAAAATAATGTAAAAATAATGTGGACCATTGGATCATAGTCAAAACGCGTTAGTAAACAGATCCAAAGGATCTAGTGTTGTGCTTGATATGGTCCTTAGTGAGAAACACACATAATCAAACAAATTCGGGTCAATCAAAATAAAATAATTGCCACGCTATCATTGGTTGAAGAACGACACGTAGGTCGTCTTCAACCTCCAGACTTTTGTGCGTTGGCTTTTTGTGAGTTTCTTCAAATGGAAAAATCATA